TTCACGAGAGATGCGTCGTGTAGAGGAAGGAAGCCCACCACGTCCTTGTCTATTTTTAAAATCTTTTAACACGATTGCAATTTCTTAATATGGTTTTACCAAAAAAAAAAAACTGTTTAATATAGATACGCTTGACTCATGGGAATAAAAGCACTATTGCAGTGTTGGAATTTAAGAGTGCGATTTACTTGTTGGAATTTAAGAATTTTTTTTATTAGTTATCGTTAAAAAACAAATGAAAGTTTTTGGGCTAAATTTAAAATGCTGAAAAAAGGACACGTGGTTGGCCAGAGAGTTTCGCATTGGCTGAGGCGAGAGAGAAACAAGGGGAGGGGGTCAGTCCAAAAAAAGAAAATTTAAAGTGTCCTAAAAAAGAACGCGACAGTTACAGAAATAGCGTGGTTGAGCCCCCAATAAAAAAAAACAATTGTAATTTAGAAGAGAGAGAGAGAGAGAGAGAGAGAGAGGGAGAAGGCCGCTTGATCGCCGGCGTGCTGTGTCACTCCGGCGGAGTCTTATCTCACATTTACTAGTACGATGATTTCTCTGACAATCTGATCTATATATCTGTTCGTTTTTGTTTTCGATTGTTTTGCTCGACGATATTCATCTTCTCTCATAATTGCGGATTAATCTCCCGGTAACGTGTCTTCATTTTCTGCGATGTGATTCTTTGTTCTTCCCGCGTTCGTTCTCTTTGTGTATGGCTTTTGAATCTGTTGACAATTTGGTCCTAAATCGAAGAATTATGTAAAATATCAATCGACGTTCGTGTCGTTAACAGATTCTTTGCAGTCGCAGGTGCATGAAATTGAATCCTCAGCAGATTCTTTTTACCGTACGTTGATTGTTTATTAGTGATGTGATCATTGCTCCAAGTGGAGACCAGTCTCTAATTGTTGTGAAGTTTAGCCTGACCGTTTCCCTTCTCATACTTGTAGAGAGAACTTGTAGATGTGTGGTTATGAACCTTCTGTTTTGTGGTTGCTCTTTGCAGCTGAATGTTTTGGAATTTGAATCTCTTGTGTTTGTCAGAGAGGTTAAAATTACGGTTACTGACTAATTGTGGGAAGAAATAACAAATCGAGGAGCTGGGGAGATTCGGGGGATGATGGAGTTCAACAATCATCAGGAGGATTTAATATCTTCTTCAGAAAGATCAGATCCTCTCTACATTTCTCAACTGAAAATTTCAGCCTCTCCCAAGTCTCCACGATCACCAGCACATGGTAATGATGTAGGGGGTTCGTCACCGCATGATGGGCAGTCCAATTCTCCCGAAGACGGATGGACCTCAAAAGGTTTGTGTTTTCCCCTTTGATCAATTGCGCGGACTTGTGTGGTTGAAGCTTTGTCTATCAGAGTTTGTCTTTTATGCAGGAGGAGTAGAGGACAAAGAAACTTTGGGAGGGTTACTTGAGGAAGAAGAGAGCGACTCAAATGACCTGAATTTTTATAACATTGAGGTATTCACGTATGGCCACGCTTATGTGCAAGAAATGATGTTTGCAAAAGGATATAGTTTTTTTTTTGTGTGTGTGTGTGACAGCCTTTTTAAACGCCTCTTTCCTTACTGATAACTGCCTAAATCAAAAGCTTTGTTGCTTGGATGCAGGGAAACATATATTCAAAATCAACAAGGTTGAAAGCAGAGTTCACCGAGTATAAGAAAAAGGCAACAATAATAGTTGAGGAGTACTTTAGCACTAATGATATTGCATCAGTTGTTAATGAGCTAAAGGAGCTTGGAATGGTTGAGTACGATTATTATTTTGTCAAGAGACTTGTCTCCATGGCTATGGATAGGCATGACAAAGAGAAAGAAATGGCTGCTGTTTTGCTATCTACGCTTTATTCAGATGTCATTGATCCCCCAGAAGTTTATAGAGGATTCAGCAAACTGGTGGAATCTGCTGATGATTTGTCAGTTGATATACCAGACATAGTTGATGTTCTAGCTGTTTTCATAGCTCGAGCCGTGGTTGACGATATTCTTCCTCCTGCATTTCTAAAGAAACAAATGGCTTTGTTGCCTGATAAGTCGAAAGGATTGGAGGTACTGAAAAAGGCTGAGAAAAGCTATTTAGCAGCTCCACTTCATGCAGAGATTGTCGAGAGGAGATGGGGAGGTAGCGATAATTGGACAGCTGAGGATGTGAAAGCACGGATTAGTGAATTGCTGAAAGAGTATGTGATAAGTGGAGAAAAAAGGGAAGCTTTTAGGTGCATCAAGGGATTGAAGGTTCCATTCTTTCATCATGAGATTGTGAAACGGGCACTGATAATGGCGATGGAAAGGCGGAAAGCTGAAGCCCGACTACTGGGTCTGTTGAAAGAAGCGGCTGAGGTCGGTCTCATAAACTCCAGTCAAGTGACAAAAGGGTTTAACAGAATCATTGATTCAATTGATGATTTGACTCTTGACATACCAAATGCTCGCCAAATATTGCAGTCTGTCATCTCCAGAGCGGCTTCAGAAGGGTGGTTATGCGCATCTTCTCTGAAATCTCTGTCACCCAATCCAAGGTACAAAATACTCGAAGATTCCAATGCCAAGATCTTCAAGGCTAAGGCTCAGTCGATTATCAGGGAGTATTTCTTCTCCGGGGACATATCAGAGGTTGAACATTGCCTGAAAACCGAGTTGACGGAATCACCCAACCAGCTGCACACAATCTTTGTGAAGAGTCTGATAACTCTAGCAATGGATAGGAAAAAGAGGGAGAAAGAGATGGCATGTGTTCTGTTATCATCTCTATCTTTCCCAGCAAAAGATATGAGAAACGCATTCTCAATGCTGATAGAAGCTGCAGATGACACTGCGCTAGACAACCCTGTGGTAGTGGAAGACCTTGCAATGTTCTTGGCTAGAGCTGTGGTGGATGAGGTGCTAGCCCCGCAGGATGTGGAGGAACTGTCTCACCAGATCCCGGAGACGGGTGAAAAAGTAATTAAAACGGCAAATTCATGGCTGAAAGCACGTCTTTCGGGGGAAAGGATATCACGCTGCTGGGGATGGGGGGGAGGAACTGAGACGAGTTCACCGGGATGTACAGCAAATGAAGTCAAAGATAAGATACTCATTCTGCTGGAGGAGTATGAGGCGGGAGGAGAGGTAGCAGAGGCCTGCCGGTGCATGAAGGAGCTGGGAATGCCATTTTTCCACCACGAAGTTGTGAAGAAAGCGGTGGTGAGGATGATAGAGCAGAAAGAGAACGAGAGGCTCTGGAGGCTGTTAGAAGAGTGTTTCAAGTCAGGGCTTGTGACAATATATCAGATGACCAAAGGCTTCAAAAGGGTGGCTGAGTCTCTCGATGACCTTTCTCTTGACGTTCCTGATGCTTCCCTTAAGTTCTCTTGTTGCGTTGAGAGAGCTAAGCTGGCTGGCTTCTTGGACGGTGACGTCGACTCTTCTTTTGCCACTTGACCCACCCATTCCTCCCTAGGCTTCATCACATTGATCACCCTTTTAAAACGTTTCAAATTTTTGCTTACCATGATTTTTCCTTCGTTTTTTTTCTTCTTAAACTCAGTCCTAGCAACACGTTTGTTAGGAGGACGCATACATTTTGTTTCCCTTCTGCAGCAAGTTCTTGTAACTTAGGAAAGGCATACATATTGGAAGAAGGCTTCAAGGGGATTTCAGTCCAGTATCTGAACCGTGAGACTGAACCTGTAGTTTTGGCCAACAACTTTGAATTGTTATGATTTTTTAAAAATAGCAAGTTTGCTTTTATAATCGAAACCGGTTTTACAGTTGGTGATTGAGGTGGAATAGGAAAAAAACGACATTTTGTAGTAGCAATTTTGCATTTGAATGGTTGTTGCAGGAGGCTATTACCGAGCCTGACCAAAGAGGAGGCTGTGCCTTGTTTTTTTTTTTTTTTTTTTTTTTTTTTTAATTTTTTTTTTTTTTTTTTTAAAGTCTCGTCTTATACGCGTGATTATAACAAACTCTCGTCCAAATTTGATATCTTTCTTCCGTAGAAACAAAATCATGTTATAGCGGTGTACAGACAAACATTGCGAGGACGGTTCACGTAACCAAGACCAAGTAGGGATGCGGTTTGGGTCAAATACCAATCCGGTTCGCTTTATGAATAACGAACGAACGACGTGGCCTTCCCGTTGCCACCCTTTGGTATTTCAAATAGGATCGTCCTCTCTCTCTCCATCTCTTTTTTTTTTTTTTGGTAAACCTCCATCTCTTTCTGAGACCGCAACAATGGCGATTAAGTTAGCTATGGGGCTAAAAGTAGTTTTTCCGGCGATGTTCTGTGTGATGCTTGCGACCCTCATCTACACCCTCTCTGTCGACGGCCTTCCCTTCCCCGGCCGCCCAGATGTCTTCACGCCGTAAAACCTTCCTTCTCTCTCTCTCTCTCAAGCGTGCATACAATCACATATATATGCGGTACAGTGCTTTGTGTATTCGCGCATAATTCCGATGTTCCGTTTCTTCAGGTGGTTCGTTACCACTGTGGTGGATTTCTATATTAACATCGCACCTATCGCGGTATGTTGAACTGCTGATTTAGAAGACATATCCGAAATCGTTCTATTCTATCTCTCGGTGATCGTTTGGGTTTCAAGTGGTTTAAGCGGGTGCTGATGGAAATATGCTTAAAACTCAGGTGTGGATTGCGTACAAGGAGTCAAATTGGTTACGTTCAGTTTCTTGGGTCATTTTGCTCTTGTTATTTGGCAGGTATTTGTATTCCTTTGTTTTTCTTTTTCAGTAATAGTTTCTTTTGATATAATCCGACCGCATTATGCTTTCTCCAGTCTCACGACATGTGCTTACGTCTTCCTCCAACTTGTCAAATTGACGCCTCAAGAAGCTTCTCAAGATCCCATGTATCATTTGTTGCTGCGTGATTCAGACAGGTACAGGTTCCATCCTATGAGCTTCTTCTATGCAGAACATTAGCCCCTCATTTATTGATACTTGGATGATCATCAGCCTCTGAAGTACCTTACCCGTGTCTATGTCCTTTATTGGTTACCCAGCATGCTCTTTATCTCAGCAGTCTGGTCTTACCAATAATAACAAAAAAACATTCTTTTGCAAAGACAGTTGGATGCATGATTCATCTGTTTGGTGCAAGTCAAGCACACTCATGAAGTTAGTAGTTGTATCCACTGAGATTGTGAAACATTAGATGTCATTGAGATTATTTATAGCCATTTCAGAATGGCTAATCAGAGAGTGCCCGTGAGCAATGTTTTTTCAGGAAATCACAGACTGTATCATTATCATGTATGTGTCTTGTCAGGGATAAAACGGGTCGTGGAAACAAGAACTCCCCTGTTGTCACTGCGAGATTTGTATTTGGAGCCTTAGGATGTTTAATGCTTGGAACCTTACTCTACACTATCTTAACAGACGGATCTCCTTTCCGCAGAGATCTTCTATACCCGTGAGCTTGTTCTCATTTTTTCACCCTCGGAGAGATATGTTTTGTGGCAAAGCAATGAGCCTGGCCTCATTTAATCATTTGATTCCCGCAGGTGGATGGTGGCATTATTGGTTAGCTTCTACATAGATGTGGTGGCTTTATCAGTAAGTACAAGTCACAGTGCATCAGATACTTGTATCTCTTGATTTTTTTTGAGTTTGATGTATCTTGACGTTCTTGCTTAATTTCCCATTCCACCTCCTAGTTTTTGTGAACCTTTTAAACGTTAGGAGTCAGTTCATATATTTTCTATGAACTCGTGGGTAGTGCCAACTGTACAAAGGGGCATATAAGGGGATGGAGCATGTTGGTTTATATGCTGTGAGTTAACTTGGTCAAGGAGAAATACAACATCCCTCCCGTGCTTCCCAATCCAATGTCCACTCTTTTGACAATAGTCATGCATCCACAAACCCATAAAGAGCGAGAGTGAGATCTCATGGTTAACCCTATCAACTGGGAGAGTCCATAAGGATGTAAGCCATCAACGCAATTGAGTATTGCTCGCTGTGACTCTCTCTTTGTATAATTATATCAGGTCTGGCTTGTTTATAAAGAGTCCTGTTGGATCACTGGAACACTCTGGCTTCTTGTGTCGATATGTTTGGGCAGGTACGACAGTGAGCTTGTCCTCCAAACTTTGCCTGTATCAGAGGACAAGTTATTGTATTATTCATTCATACATGTTTCTTGGTATTGTCATCAGCGCCGGCACCAGTGTATACATCGTAGTGCAGCTATTGCGTCTTTCTTCCCAAGATCAGCTGTACCTCGTTCTATTGAGCAATCGTAACCGGTATTTTTCCTTTTATCCTGCAATAAACTAGCATCTGTTGCTAATTATTTTCGAAGAAGTTCATGAGATCTTTTACTGTCTTGGTACTGATTGGTAAGTAAGGTACTTTTGTATTTCCTGACTTACAGTTTTGCTCTTTTATTTTTTGCTGTAGGAAGTAAAGCTAAAGTGTGTAACAATTTATATCTGAAAAAAATCTCATACCAATTGGAATTGGCAGTGCAGGAAGCGGGTATGAGCGGACCACAAACATAGATACGTTGATCACTTAATTATGGATGCAAGATCTCATGATTTGTTGCAACTCCCTTTATCCATCCCTACCATCTATAGTTTCCCTTCATTGCTATTCTACTTGTTTGTGTTACTACAAGATCATTGTAACCTTTTTTTTCATCAGAAACATACTGAAATCATCCAAAATTGCAACCACTGTAACCTTATATATATATACATATATGGAAAGTGGGAACTAAGCCGCATCTTCAGAAGCAGCAGATGTACATGTAAACTATGTTTTGAAATTTGTAATATAACTTTGGTTTCTCATGTTTATTTATTTTTTGGGGAACTCCGAACCCCTCATTTATCTTGAAGCTTTACGACCTCACTAGCTTTGAAGAGCAAACCGTGAGCTCGATTTATTCACTTGAAATCTGGATGCACCTCGTCATCTACTGTTTGGTCACCCATGCTTATCCCCAGAATTACTCTGCTCCATTCTCGGGCATCATCATGATCCAAGCCTTCTCTCCGGCCAAGCCCTGGTGGTGCTCTTTCTTCTTCTCCTTGAGTCAGGTATGCGTTCCATTTTGAAGCCGAATTTGCAACTCCTCCTCGAACTAGATTTCTCTGTTTCAATTCATGCTCCCTCTTTGATGCTTTCCCTGTTCATGCAAAGTTATTACTCATGGTTGTTAACACCAGAAAATTCGTTAAAAGTGAACAGATCTTCAAATAAATATCCAAAAGTTTTTTTGTCCAACAACATGCATTGCAAACTTGAGGTACCTGAGCATTGTCTTTGCTCGATGATGCTTTTTCTGGAGAAGATTGGGTTGTAAGGTTCATTACCATCTTCTGCGTCCATTGAGGATCCTCCACCACCACTCGAATATGTATTCAACCTAGGTTTCTTGAACATGTCCTTTGGCATCTCGGTGACAATCTCCGCATCTAATCCAAGCCGTGTAAACATCAACCAATCTCTCAAAGAGCAAAGAACGTTGATCGAATGAAAGGTTTTCACGATTTCTCTTTCAATTTAACCTACCCATTCCTTCTTTGGCCTCCCCATCTTCAGGTGATCTTCGGCAACGATTAGGTGGATCAAGGTCAAGGTACTCAGTCCAATCAGTGCGCCTCTTTTTCCAGTCTACATGAATCTCCGAGAGCGTACCTCCTGCGGCAGTGTCTTCCTCTTCGAGGGATTTGCGGGACATATTGAAGGACTGGACGAAGAACCGAAGCTCCTTGGCCTTGTATCCCTGTGCAAATATCTTTCGTACCGATTGCTTCTGATTGCAGATCACGCACACCCATTTGTTGCTGCTTTTCTTCTGCTGCTTCACCTGCGACACCAGAAATCCGTAAATCGCAATCAACACCACCCCTATGTACATACAGGGAGACAGAGACCTGCATGGTGGAACATTGGCAGCACTGGAGAGCGATGAACAGAGTGCTCGGCATTTCCTTCGTCGTCGTCAGGTGAGTTGTCGCTAGGGTTTTCGTTTTTCAGATTTGAATTGATTGTGGCGCCATTTTGCCTGCAATCGGATATCGGGCTCGGGCTTGGGCTTGCACTCTTTTGTAGGCCCACTTTAAATAGTGGTATGTAGCCCAAACCCTGAGTACATCACATCCACGATGCGCTGGAAAAATCACTCAAATGATCCGTATCTATTTTCAGCGTACACCATAAAAAAAACAATTTTTTTTTTCAATTTTAACCCATTTTTTCGATTGAAAAAATCCGAAATACCCTTTTCTTTTTATTTTTTGCGACCTTATTACGACTAACATATCACTAATATACAATTTAAATAAGATAGATGATTTTTTTGCCACCTTTTTTAGAATCAATTGTAATTTTTTTGCCATCATTTTTAGAATTAATTACGAAATCGTAATAACGAAGTTGTTTTCGAACGGATAAAAATCGTATATTCATTAAGGGTAATTTCGTCTTTTCAAAAAAAAATTAATGTGTTATGTTTTTTCCGGGTGTACACGTTAAATAGGTGCGAGACAAGTGGTTCATTTGATTAAAAAACCCGATGCCCTCCTCCTGTAAGCGAAACAGAGGCTGAGAGCGGAAAACACTTCTCATGAACAGAGCCAACAAGTTTTTGCTCTCCGCTCTTATCTCCGTTAAGCAAACGAGATCATCTATCTCTTCTTCTTCTTCTCCGTTGAGGCTTCTTTCTACGAAGAACAACAGCCACAACTCCAAATCCAAGAAGAGCTCTCTCATCCTCCAAGAGTTCCGTCGTCGTCGGGAAAAAGGCTCCGCGAAGAGTGAACCCCCGAGAACGGTTGATTCTTCCTGCGGCGGGACCGACGTGGTGAGTGGTTATGTAGGGCTGGGGCTGAGGATGGAGCTGGTAGCGGCGGCGGAAGAGATTTCCGGAGACGGCGGCGCTGTTCCCTCCGAGATTCAATGCATCGGAATTCCCGCCGTTTTGGATGGCAAGTCTGTCGTTTTGAGCTCCGAGGCTGGCTCTCCCAGGGCTCTCGCCTATCTCCTCCCTCTCGTCCAGGTTCGTTATTCGGCTCTTGAATTCGTCCTTAAAATTTCATCGTCGCACGATGGAATATGCGACATTCGGTTTGTTGCTTGTTTTTATGGGTTTGTAGAACACGATGCTTATCTTCTGTATCTTTTACTTGCTAATGATTTGAGAGGTTAGGACGATGCTCTGAATTGATCCTTCAGGTTCATAAACTATCTTAATTTCTTTAAATTTGGGTCACATGAATCATCAATTCATCATACTTTGGAGAACGTAACTGTACCAAAAAGCACTTGACTTGGTTACTCTTGGTTTTTGAGTGGATGAGCCAAATGATGTTTATCATCTTGAGTTTCTGTTTTCTTTATATATATATATATATTTTCGCCTTTGGGGCTCGCCAAAGAATTCTCCTTTTATGAAATCAGAATTCATCATGAATATATTGCAAGTAGACTATGTGGTAAAGAGACTTGCATATCGTCTTGTTGATGTTATTATTGGGGATTGCACAGTTATTAAGGAGCGGCACAGTTAGCATGAAGCCCAAACGTCCTCGAGCGGTTGTGTTATGCAACACAGAAGAGGTGTCTGATGAGGTTCAATTTCTTCCCCTACAACATAGCTATCTGTGGCTCATACATTCTCCAACTTTGCATCTCATTCTACACTTTTATTAAAGCACAACCTTTTAAATTTTAGCAATCACTTTGCAATTGTGTATGCTGTTTGTCATTTTGCGAATGGAAAACCCCAGTGCTTCCTGATGGGAAAGTACATAAGTAATCACTGTCGCTCAAAGTCCTCCATTGAAGACGACCGATCTGAATCAAAAGGCAATGAGAATATGACGACCCCTCCCCTTGGGATGTTGGTTGGTACCCCCAGTGAGATTCTTCTACAGATAGAAGAAGGCGACGTTTTCTGTGATGATGTGAAATATTTGGTAACTTTTCTGTTTCCTGGCTCCGTGATTCTGTTCCGTATATGGCGGAGACATGATTATTTTATAGCAAGTACCTGTTATTTTCCTATCAGGTATTGGACGAGGCAGATGCCATGTTGAGGCAAGGTTTTGGCCCCATGATTCAGAAAATAGTAAGCCAATTACCTGACTGCATGGGGATTCAAACTGTGGTTGTTACCTCTCCGGCTTCAGAGGTGTGGCCTTTTTTTATAGAGGAATTGCTAACCTTTGGAATACGATATGTACATTGGATGGGAGAACCTAGTCCATTGTGGACAGAAGTGATTCCTCACCATGGTAGTTGTTAGTATTAACACTTGGGGTGAATGCAGATGATTGGTAAGCCAGTGATGGAGCATGTTGGAGAAATAAGTGCGATGATGTTGGAGATTGACAGAAAGGAGGTGCTTGACCTGCTCGCATCACCGGATGCTGTCATGAATAGAGTGGCGGAAGCCTTGGCCTCTCTCCCTGGCTGTTGACCTTTTGCATATCACATCACGCTCGTAAGTTCTTGTTTTACTTTTTCATCTTTCATGACTCATGATAATAATAATAATAATAATAATTTACAGTTCCCCTTATGTAATAGTAGCCCAAGAGCCAAGAGGCTTTAGATCTGTCCCCTTATATAATGTGCTCAACAAGCCCAGCGCCACAATTGTTGAGCCCATATCCACTGATTAGGTGATGTTGACCTAACATTTCTCTTCAATTACTATAATTGGGAAGGATTGTTCAGATTGATTATATAATCATTAAAATTACAAACAAATAAAAAAAAAAAAATCGTTGTAGTTTTCAGAGCCTAAAAAACAAAACTTGTATCATTTGCCACGCATTTGAGGATACATTATGTGATTACATAATCCAATACAGAAATGAAATGAATGATGAAGGGTCATGTTATGTGTAGATCATGTTGATTTTAAAATTTCTCAAGAGAGACAACAGCGGCAAATATAACATGAAATAAGTTAGATTAGAAGTGTTAGTTCGACGTAATTATAAGTAATCGATTAAAGTTGAGATCGGGTGGTGAGGTAAGACAAAGCAGAGCTTTCCGATGATGCTCCTCTGCTAATCTTAACTGAATTAAACTAGTCAGCACCGAAAGTAATATGCATATTTTATTATTGGAGACAAGGCCATAAGCAAACGAACAAAATGGAAGGCTGATGAAAGAAGAGTTCGGTGGTGACATCGCATGTGCCGAGATGCCAATAGCTGTTGTAGACAACAAATGCTCCAAAAACCCAATAAATTAAATTGAATGAATTTAGCTTTCCATTGGAGGATTAGTAAAAATAAAAACAGAGAGGGGGAACGCGTGTCCAAGAGGAGGGAGAGTGGGAACAAGAGAAGAAGCTATTTGCTATTGGCTGAGGTACCACCACTCACTCCTTTTTCCATTGTTTGGTCATTGGGATTTGGGATAGCGAGATTCAAAGCTATATTGGTTGCCAGAGAGTTTTGTTGTCATCTGTTATGTTTGATCAAATCTTTTTCGATTTTTTTTTGTTTAAAATCCTATCGAACTTGGACATCCACTGTGTTGTCTTTCCTTGTCTCATCTATTAAATCCACATGTATATATACACACACACACACATGTTGTCAACCACTACTGTGACTTTTACTTTGATGTGATCTCCAAAGGCACAAGAATTTCCACAAAAACGATTAGTTCTCTTTTTCTTCCTCTACTTTATATCTATTTCCTCATTCGTCGTTTTCTAACTCAATTCACTTTTTTTTTAATCAAATTTTGCAGTCGTCTGCTCTTCTCTCAAAGGGTTTAGATTATTCGCATTTTGCAGGTTTCCTTTTGAGAATATTCATGGAATGTGTATATGCATATCACGCATTCCGTTAAAGTCTTGTTAACTTTTTTCTTTCAGGTGATCCTACGACCCTAAGGGCAGATGCAGAAAGGTGAGTGTGTGTCTTTATTTTTCAAAAGTACAATACTCTTAACGAAGCCATCACTGCAAAAGCTGATCCTCTCTCTCTCTCTCTCTCTCTCTCTGTATTCTTTTTCGGACAAAAAAACATTTTAACATTTAAAGTATTTATAAAAAAATACGAAAAAGGGGGGACCGAAACTATCAAGTGCTGGATCCGACAATTTTGTGGGCCCCAGCAGAGACGCCACATTAATTACTTAAATTTAACTCGTCAAAATAAATAGTTCAATGCAATCAAATCTGGTAACGTGTTGGAGCATTTTTTCACATTTTTTTTTTGTCAGTCATTAGTCTTCACGGGGACAGGACCCCACCCCTCTCTCCCCAATTCTTCACTTGAAGCCGTGTTAATTTTTTCCCATCCTCTCTTCCAGACAACTCCGTCGACATGAAGAGAGCCTCCGGCCATAAATCTCAGGTGTCTCTCCCTCGTTTCGTTTCTCCCTATGTTTTTTAATTATGGATATTTGACTTCGGAAATTTGGGCTGACACTGCGCAAGTATTTATGAATTCAGAGCCTGTGGGCGAAGGTGGTGATGCGCAAGTGGTTGAACATGAACACCAGAGATTCCGACTACTACAGTGCGGACACCGAAGACGAAGACGACAACGGAGGAGACGACAGCGACTCCTGCTCCGAAGAAGGTTTCTCTCTTTAATTCAGATTCACCATTTCCGTTTGCTTCGGTTATTAATTCGAATTGGGTGTTGCAGAATTCAGCTCATCCAGGGTTGGATCGAACGCACAGGATGCTGCTGCTGAGATGGCTAGTAATGGTAATGCCGAATTACCCACTGCATAGGTAGTTCAAAGAATCACATCGTTGTTGAATTTGGATCCCCTCTTCGTGCTCTGGTTTCCCAATGATTGTAGAGTTGGCTACTGCATGGATGACTTTGGTCTTCTACTGTCTCTGTGATCCGGTTTTCATGGTTATATTCAGATGCCATTTATTGTAATGTAGAATTTCAGATTGCATGTATAGCTTTGAGACATAACCAAGACCCCTTTGATCTTGGACTGCGCTGTTGGTTTTGGATTCGTGCGGTTAAGGATGGTCTGTGATTCAATTTCCATTGTTACATCCAGATGGTTTTCCAAGGCGGAGGCGAAGAAACTCCGAGACATTTAGAGCACAGTATATTAACACAAAAGAAATCAGGTATCACACCCTCCTTTCCTTTTTGTTTCGCCTTGGTTTGGTTTTATGGGACAGATCAAATCAATATACATTTTACGAGATTTTATGATTACTGATTTTTCCCAATTTACAACGGCGACGATCTTGTGTCAGTTTCCTATTTGGTTTTGTGCGCATTAATAATCTATATCTGGTTTTACTAAATAATGTTGATTTTTCCAAAACGGTCCCCCTTTTTGTGGAAAAAAACCCATCCTTGTTTTGTGATTAGCATCTACTGTTCACTACCGACAAACAAAAAGGGAAATGGGGAACCATTACGGTGAGAAGCTGTGGCAATTGTTATGGCACTTGGTGGTATCCGGGTCAATCTGTGGATAGGGAATTATTGGACTGTTATTATATATATATATATATATATATATAGAGAGAGAGAGAGAGAGAGAGAGAGTATGCGTCGTCATTGCGGTATGACGTGTACGGTCGGTGCTGAAATAGTTGTCTGAAACCAAATGTGGCGTTATATCGCTGCAGAGTGTGTGTGGGAACATGGAATGTCGGAGGAGTTTCACCACAACCGGACATTGACATAGACGACTGGATTCAGATCAACGACCCTGCTGACATCTACGTCCTCGGGTAAAATAAAATAAAATCATTGCCCACTTTTGGCGGTGGAACCACTCTTAAAATGGATTAAACATAAACTGTATGTGTGTTGGAGGCAGGCTTCAGGAGATAGTGCCGTTAAACGCGGGGAATGTGTTGGGAGCTGAAGACAGAAGACCAGTTTCCAAATGGGAGAACATCATCCGCGATGCTCTTAACAGAGTCCGCCCTAAGGCCTCGAGGGTCAAAAGCTACAGTGACCCCCCTTCCCCTCGTAAGTTCATACCCTCCGAGGATGTCTCCTTTGACAGCGACAGCGAAACTGGCGCTGAGATACATCCCATCGACGAAGAAGATGAAGATGAAGATGAAGAACCCACCAACTGCCTGAAGCATGATGGTGCTGTCATCGGCGAGGTTACCACCCTCGTTTCTGAAACTTGTGCTGCTTCTCCCGTGGTGGATGTTCAGAGGCAGTTCTCTTCCCCTAAGAAGCTAGGCAGGCAAAGTTGTCTGCATCTTGAAAACCATGAGGAAAATGTGGATGTTCCAACTCTTACCCGGATACTCAGCGGCACTGAACGGATCGGTCTGAGCTGGCCTGAACCACCGCTGAATATGCTGGGAAGATGCGTTCTTGATAAACCACCCTCCTTCAAATCAGCGAAGTCATTCAGAGCAACCAAGTCTTTCAAGACCTACGGCTCATTCAAATCGATAGCCGGAAACGAGATATCTCCTGATGTGTTGGCTCTTGCGGAGATGGACCTCGAGACTCTCATGAAGAGGAAACGAAGGCCAGCTTATGTTAGACTTGTTAGTAAACAGATGGTCGGGCTTTTCTTGACCATATGGGTTAAGAGGAGCCTGCGGAAGCATATTCAGAATGTACGTGTCTCTACCGTTGGTGTTGGCGTGATGGGCTATATCGGTAACAAGGTACTGAGCTTCTCGTTTTGCCATTGATTGTTTTCCTACATATTTGAACTCACTCTTGTAATATTAATCTGCAGGGTGCGGTGTCTATGAGCATGTCCATCTATCAGACGTTCTTCTGTTTCATATGCACGCATCTGACAGCGGGCGAAAGAGATGTGGATCAGCTCAAGAGGAATGCC